ATTTCTAGTTTTACTCATGATAACAATTATGGAGTGGAATAGAACGTAAGGGGGCCGAGGTGGCGCAGTGGTTAGGGTGCAGTACTGCAGGCCACTTTAGCTGACTATGATCTGCAGTTCAGTGGTTCAAATCTCACCGGCTCAAGGTCGACTCAGCCTTCCATCCTTCCGAGCTGGGTGAAATGAGGACCCGGACTGTGGGGGCAAGTTGCTGACTCAATTTGCTAAAAAAAAATGTAAACCGCTTAGAGAGGGCTGAAAGCCCTATGAAGCGGTATATAAGTCAAATAAATAAATAAATAAATAAATAAGTCGAGGATTATCTGTATTACACCACTGGAAGCTTTCCCCCCCCCCCCTCTGTAAATTAGAGCCTCAGTTTGCAAATGTGCTGCCTTCTTTACCAATCCTGCTCACTTCTTGCTGGTAGATTCTATTATGCATTTTGTACTCAAGAGAGACTTTTAATTTGCTTTTGTTTCTTCAATGTAGATAGGAAAATCAAACTTAAGAGGTTGAATAATTGACCATTCCCATAGTCCTTCACATCCAAGGTGTGAGCAATAAATCACAAGAATTAAATCCTTAAGAAAGCATCATTGTTGAAAGGACAGTTCAACATATGACGTAGCGCATAAAAAGCGAGCTTTGGTGAACAAAATTATTGCTACAGTGAACTTTAATTCTGAGATTGTAAATACTGGTTTTCCACGTGGGGAAATATTTCTGTGAATTATTGTACAAACCTAATTAATTGCATAAATGACCTAGTACTTATATAGAATAAAAATGATAAGCTAAATCATTCTGTAAGTAATGATTAAGATGGTTTCTTTGCTCTTGCCAGAAGGGAATCTTGTCTAAATTTGAAAAAAGCAATTTTTACAAGGGGTAAAATCCATATCTAAGCAAGGGGGGGGGGAGTTATGTCTTGCTTGCGTGAAATGTTTTCACCAATTATGTAGACTTGCATAATATATAAAATTAATGCACTATTCATTCTTTCCTATAGGTTAAAATATTATATGCCCAGATAATTTAAAAATCTGTTTTTGATCTGTGTTTAATGATTGTACGTATGTATGTATATGGGATTGTTTGGTTGCATTAGATTTTAAAAAACTAGATATTATAAATTCCTCAGATTGCTTAAAGGCAGAAGTTTCTCTTTCTCTCCCTCTCCCTCCTTCCCCCTTCCCCCTTCCCCCTCTGTGTCTGTCTGACTGTCTTTCTGTCTCTGTGTGTGTCTTTCTTTGTCTATGTCTGTCTGTCTG